GTTTTTCCAGAAGGAAGTTGCTGAGTTACTTCCCCTCCTGTTTGAATGATGCTTTTACATATTCGTTAGACATGACCTTCATTTCTACCAGATAACCTAAAACCATTACAAAAATTCAAAACTAGCCTAAAGTACACTTTGTAAGTGGCGCGAAGTTTTGCTTCTTTCAGAGTGGGGATTTCCACTTCCTGGCATGAAAAGGGGATGGCAAAACTTTGTAAAAAAAATACTACCAGAGGTTTCCCACCACTAATTTTTATAACTGTATCTGTCAAAATGATACGCACCTGTAAATTCAGGAATAAACTTTCATAACTATCATTAATATCTCAGAAACGTGGCACTCTTCCTGGGTCAGTGACTGTGAGACACACTCAAGAGGATTCATTCCGTTTAGAAGTGATAGGTTGGCAGGCAAAAGGCTATGGTGTCATCCTTTGCTTTAGGAATACCTTAACTGTAGAAGCTACAGAAACGGTTGCGTATGAAAGTGTGGCATGTGAAACGTTGCTCTGCAGACTGAAAAGCAAGAGACGAGATGCTAACCTAATCGTAGCATGTCGAAGCTCTGAGTGTGAGACAGCAGACTTCCGCCTGAATGAGCCCACCCTCTGGACGGATAAATACCGATGACTGGGTGTGAGAGACTTCGAGGCATCATGATTTGACTGAGACAGACTAACGACAAAAACATCGAGCAGCTCGTTTGATCACGGGTTAGCGGAAACAACAATTTTTTTATCCCTCATACAACACACTAGGACAGCAACCAGACGTGATCATCATTATACTCCATCAATTCTAGGTTTAGTATTCTCACACAGAGACGACGCATGCTTCATCCGGCTCCCAGCACCCTTTGGTGAAAGTGATCACTCTATGATCATCCTCAGCCTCATGGGAGATTTCTCGTGCTAGGCCGACGCCCGAGCTAGACCCAACAAATGGAATGCGAATGTGGAAGCTATTGACCCGGCAGCCTCTTCAGAGGACTGAATAGTCACTGCAGGAGCCTCAGTTGAAGGTGCATGGCGCTCCTTCAAACAGTTATATGCGCGAGTGACTCAACTGTTCATTCCCTAAACTGTCCGGAGGGGAAGGGAACACTGTCCCCCCTGGATAAACCACGAAATCCGAATCTTACTAAGTGCTGGAGACTTATCATCCACCTCGAAGTGATGAAGCATTACAGAGAAGTCCCAAATAAATCTGTCACTGCTATCCGCCGGTCTCGAATACGCTTTGAAACACGTCTTGCCCAGGCTGTATTGCAACATCCAAACAGGTTATTTTCTCAAATGAACTATGGGAATAAGATGTATCGTGGTATGCCTTAATCAGTGACAGCAGTCATCAAGTTTGACTAGCATTTTGAAAGGGCAATCAAGAAAACCACGGCGGTCTACTTAGAGAACAGCTATCTACTGTCTCATTCACAGCGTGGCTTTCGTCGAAACCTCTCCTGCTTGACGAATCTTCTTGCAGTCGGAGGAAGCCGGGTCAAGCTTAAAGATGCCAGGACACCTGTAGATGTCGTTTTCACCGAATTAAGTAAGGCGTTCGACAAGGCACCTCATTCCAGGCTGCTCGGGAAACTGTAAAGTCTTGGAATCACTGGCAGTCTGCTTGGATGGACACCAGAGTTCCTTGTTGGTGGGAGACAAAAAGCAAGGATCACTTCTCAACTGTCCTCTTGGAAGTCGGTGGGGAGTGGAGTTCCTCCAAGCACAGCCCCGGGTCTCCTGCTTCTTCTCCTGCACGTAAATGAGCTGCCAAATGTCACAAAATCCCCTATGGTTCTCTGCTCTGATTGTGTAAAAATCTGGCGGGAAATTAGAAACAACAAGAATATACATGTGCTTCGAGCAGGCCTAAACAGCTTGCTTACCTGGTCAGAGAAGTGGCTGGTGCCTATCAGCGGAGGCGAATGTATGAGCGTGCACGCGGAGCACACACATGGCAACTCCTACGGATTTGGTGGGACTCCTATGCCGTCGGTCCTGACCCAAAATGACTTAGGAGTCACAGTTGGTCACGGTTTGAAAACCACGGCATACTGTCAATTGGTAGCAGCTTGGAGTTTTAGGACACTATGCATTACGCAGAACATTGACGAAAATGGGTGGTGACATGTTCAGTATCTTACACACATCCTTACTTAGGTCTGGATTAGAAAGCTGTGCACAGGTGACAAATCCTTGGCTGCAAGGTTGCGCAGACCTCATAGAAGGAGTTTAGAGGGCACCCAGTCGTATGATCCCTGTGATGGCTTGCTCCCCTTATAAAGATCCACTTAAGAGGCCAAACCTCTTCACTTTATCCTATCGCAGATGGAATAGATACCTAACCATGCTATACGGGTTCCTAAGAAACGACTTCGAATCTGATACATCTTCTCCTTTCCCTCCCACCAAGTCGGATCACCTCGGAGGACACAGTAGGAGGCTACGAAAGCAAAGAACGAGCATAGTCTCTGCAGAATACTGGTTCTCGCGTCGAGTAATCAACTCCCGGAACCGACTCACAGAAGGAGTGACATCCACATCATCAACTGACCCCTTCAAAAGGGGAATGGACAAGAACAGAAATCTACCGGAAGAGGATTAACTAGGCTCACCGCCACCTATCCTCAAATAGCAAATATGAATCAGCAAAATTTTCAAATCCTAACCTCTACCTTTCGCTCTCTTCAGTTTTACACAGGTTGACAACCGTAAGAAGTAGTGACTTGCAGATTCCAGGTGCGGTAACCAGTTAAGCAAAAGCTTCCTCTATCCCTTAAACAAACATCTAAGTCACTGGGAAATTCTCTGACTGAACATGTCTGTCAGTGTACTCGCTGGGGGTTTGACGGTAGGCCACCCTGACCGGATTATATTTTCACACATCAGTTCATTGAGGTAACGAGCTTGAATGTTCTTGACCCAGTAGGGTTGGGTAATCATGCAGTTGTTTCCTTCACTACTTCCATATCTAAGCCCCCTGATCCTGATAGGTCACCGGTCGGGAATTACAGGAGGGCTGATTTTGAGAAGATCCGGCAAGATCTAGAAGGCTGCCCTGGCTTAACTTGTGATGACCTACTGGATCTCGATGCCGGATGGGAACTGTTGGTGGACACGATCCCTCAGATGGTAAATAATAACACTCCTCCGACTCCAAGAAGAACCAGAAAGTTCTGCCCCTCTTGGCCCAAGTCAAGCATGAGCAAAATTATACGGCGTAAACGGTCATCTTGGAATTAATGGAGGGTGACTAAGAGCTCTATTGACGGGTTAAATTACGAAGGCGTAAGTAGCAAACATACGATAAGAATCTGAAATGATGGAATGAACTACCAGATACAAGCATGTTGAAGCTTGGGGGGCGGAAATAGCGGGATAGTATACTCGCTGACAAAACAGAAGAGTAGCATTTCACTTAGTATATGGGGCTGCAGTGGTTTAGAGACTCACCACTCCAACTCCGGGGTGGCAAACTTAATAGCACATGAATTCCCAAACAACCTATCCTATGGGAGGGACAACCACGCATCTACCGGACACCCATATCACAGTAGGGCTAAGCCGTATAGAGCTTGAACCCTCTGCAATTATGTAAACATTAAAGGATTTGAACCCGAATAAGCCTACAGGAATTGGTGGCACTCACCCAAGAGTACTTAAAGATTGTGCTGAAGTTTTGAGTGCCCCATCAGCAAACGTCCTCAGATGCTCGTTTCTGAAAGGCGGGTTACCCTCTGATTGGAAACGAGTGACTGTCGTCCCAATATGTTAAGGTGGAGACCGACCGCTTACCTCTAACTGTAGACTAATACCCCTGATCTCTTTAGTTGCGAAGGTCACGGAGGGAGTAATAAATGACGCGGTTCGTGATCGCTTACCTAAGAAACCAATATTAACGCCTGTCAGCATAGTTTTTTGCCTGGAAGGTCATGTGACACCAGCGTGTTTATTGAACAGAATATCTGGGCTTTCTCTTTTGAGCAGAAAAACACCGTTCACATTGACTTGGTTCCTCCAGGTCCTTTGACAGGGTATATCATGATATCCTACGTAAGAAACTTCAGCTTATGGGTGTACACGGAAAAATACCAATTTGGCTTAGAGATTATCCTCACACCAGGTTGCAGTCAGAATCGGTTCTGCTCTTTCCAACTGGTTCCCGATGCTGAGTGCTATACCTCAAAGTTCTCTTCTGGACCCATCACTGTTTCTTGCTTTTATCAATGACCTACCAGGAGCCCTCAATTCCCATTCACTATTATATGTCGGTGATCTGGAGATTCGGGGAGAAATACAGGTGCTAGTGGATATTTCGGTCTTCCAGGAAGACCTTACGAAAATCCTTAATTGGGCCACGGAAAACATGCTTCCTTTCAAATCGAAGAAGCGTCGGGTAATGAAAGCTGACAAATACAAAAGCAGTCCCGGTTCTTACTATCTGCGTGAAATAAATATCTGTCACTGTAACATGGAACAAGATCTGGGAGTTACATTAAGCGACGTACTACAGGCGTCAGCCTGCTATCACCTTGCAGCCAACGAGGACTATGAATTCTTGGGGCTCCTCTCAAGAACTTTGGGAAGCTGCATCCGATACAATACCGAAGGATCAGAGTGGATGTGGTAATGATTTACTACATCGGTTATAATCCTCTTCATCCTAACAGATCCCTTCTTAGCTTTGATCGGAAACGCCACCTAGGGGGGGGTCACCCGTCAAGAATAGAGCATGAAAGAGTACGTACAAAGATCTGTGCTAACTCATTTGCAGTTAGAGTTTGTAAACTGTCGAACTCCCTCCCTCAGCAGTTGTTACAGCTCCATCCCCGAAAGATCAAAAACTACCAGTTTTCTATGCTCGCACTATCAATATTGGATATTGGATCCCCTGACACTTTCAAAGGAAGTTAGACGCACATCTTCAGTCCTGAGGTACCGAAGGACTGTACCCGACAAGCCTTCCGTCATCAGTAGATCGGGTGCAGTAATACACGAATGAACACTTTAACCTACGACCTACAGATAAGAAGTTTGTGCGCGAATATCTTTATAAGGGTGTCGCGGGCGCTGTAAGTTCTAACAAAACGGTGGTTTTTATCAGGATCGTGGGAGGACCGTTACACTGGTGTAGACTTAATCAAATCTACTCACGTTCAACATCGATAGTGTGAATAAAGGAATCTTATAGTTTTTAAACTCTTGCTTCCAGGCTTTTAAGACCAGTTCTTTTTGTCCGGTTAGATTTCTTCAGTGGTCGCAGAAATCCATACGTCATTCCTGCTTATAATTTTGGAGGCCGTGATCGTTTATTCGAGGGTTCTCCCTTGCAAATTGTGGGTTTCCTTGTTTGGGGGAGCAACTGGGCTGCTGATAAGATTAATTAACGTCTTTCAATTTCTGCCTTTGTAGGCGTCTGCGAGTAAGTATTAAACGTTACTCAGAAAGGGCGATTGGGGAACGGTAGGAAGAGGACTGAGAAGTACTTATGGAAAGATAACTCCCACCAGCAGTAATACGGAGAGGAGATGTTTCTTGTTGCGGATTGGGGAATGCAGGGGTTGCCGCCGACGAATGTTCGTGGTAAGCAGTTTGTGCTCACGTACTTGTCAAGCAATCGTTTGGAGGATTCAGCTGACGTAGCTGTAGCTACTTCCTCCGGCATAGCGTTCCATAAAGCAAATACTATGTGAAAATAAGTTTCACCTTGCCCTATTGTGGAGTTCACGCGAGACAGTTGATTTCGGAGCGATAGTGTTGACCTATTTGCGTGGCTCACCTAGTGGATGATCTTGTAGGCTGTTAGTAGGTCGCCTCTTTCCCTTCGATTGCTTAATGTAAATAAGTTGAGTTGTCCATGGCGTTGCGCATGTTTAGCCTGGTAGCCCAACAACTAACATTGTCACCCTTCTATGTACCTTCCGGAGAGCAATTGTGTCTACTCAGTAGGGGGGGAGGCTATCCTGTCGAATACCTCTGTGCAGCCTAAAGTAGGTTTTTAATACTATTAGGAATGGTTAAGGCTTTAAGCTGGTTTCCTAGAATGTGCATAGTGGTGTTGGCCTTTGCTGCTATTCTCTCATAATTGGCGCATACAGACAGATGGAATTAACGTAAGACTTCACATACAATTGCGCTAGTTCGGGTTGCCATACTTCGCAGTGGTATGAAAAGAAAAGGTGGATAGAATCAGACTGCTATCAAAGTGGAAAAAGTCGAGTGAAGGGATAAACAATTTAAAGATAAAGGTTTATGGGAATATCCAGGCACCACTGTTGTCATTTCACTGAGAGTCATTAACCGGTTCTTATCATTTCGCGGGTCCAAGCCAGGTAGTCTACATCCACCCACGCAGCTCGAACGAGCGGTAAGCTACTTCATCGCCTGGCTCCACGTCTTAGCCTGACCACCTTGAACCCTGTTCCAACCTTACTCAGCTGCCTCTAGCATAGTATGTCGAGGTAGGTAATTGGCTGAAATGTCTAGTATGTCAGGGAAGTTTAGTCCTAGGTCTTCTGTGGCTACCCTGGTGATTGTGTACTTGTTGAGGGTTTAACTGGTTTTCATCATTTGTGCGCGGATACATCACCCGCACATTTCTCCAGGTTGAAGCTCAGACTGTTCTTAGATGACCAGAACTGCGGCTGCAGTAAGTCGTCTTGGAGTGTCCTAGGATGATCTGTTTTCTTACCTGTTATCCTCCATATTCTGGCGACGTCGGCAAATAGGGCGATAGACGAGAGGATTTTAGCGGGAAGACCACTTAGAAATAGTAAAAGTAGAAGTCCCCCAAGGATCGCTTTTTGAAAAGCTCCTGTTCTTGTACTACTTTAGTAAAGAGTTATCTGTCATCTAAGTATGCCGGTTCAGTGATACCCACTTTTGCAAGTTTAGCGAGCACGGTGTAGTGTGGGAAGCTATTGAAAGCTTTGGTTTAGTCCGGTAAAGTGACGTTGACTGTTTGCTTGTTGTTTTGTATATTGGTCCAGTTTTAGCCAAGGCGGTCATCGAGTTTGTGGCTCATGACCGTGCGGTTCTGAAAGCGTATTGTATAGGATGAAGGATGTTTTTTCCTTTCAGGTAGTCGTAGACAACGTTTGCAACTAGGTTTTACGGAGCTTGGGAATTAACGCTATCGGTCTGTAAATGTATTGTTTTTTGGTTTCCTCCGTTGGAGACTGGTAAAGGACTGCACACTTCCACTCCTTAGAGACTTGACTTACTTCCAGTGGGTGCATAAATTTCGCATGTGGATTTGCTTAGCATTTCAGCACAATTATATAGATCTACCGGTCTTATGTCGTCGCTGCCCGTAGATTTCCCTATTCTGAATGTTGAAAATCGGTTGAAAGATCAAACTCATCATCAATATCAACATAGGACCAGGCATTACTGCTTAACGGTCCGAGTTGCCACAGCTCACAGTACATCAAGTAAAAAGTCAGTGAGGTGCAAGACGAAGATAAGAAAATTCAGTGAAAAGAAGTATAAAGTGCCAAAAGAGAGAAAAAGAGTGAGGAAGTGGTGAGATTCGGCATGATGTTAAGATGGGAATAATGTGTGTATATATCTGCTCCATTGACATTAGTTCTGAGCCATATCACCTAGAGTCTCAGCCACTGGTTCCTCTTGTCCCCCGGACCCCAACCACCTAGTCTGCATCGCTCCACATGGCTCAAACCAGCAGTCAAAGATTTCATACGTTGATGCCATGTTTTAGTCTGGTCACCTCGGGTCCTTTTCCAGTCTGGACCTACTTCCCACAACATTAAGTGACGAGGCGATCGGTGACTAGGCATACGTAATACGTGTCCCAACCATCTCAATCAATGGAGGTTCATAACCTCGTCAACTGATTTACCTGTGCTCCCTAAAATTGTATATCTGACTTCTGCGTTACTCACGTAGTGACACCATGGAATACGGCCTATACTACGAGGGCAACGGTGGTCAAACACTTGAAGCTTTCTCATGTCTTCCACCTTCATTGGCCATGTTTCACAGCCAAACAGTAGAACAGACCGGACTACTGTACATTACACGCGACTCTTAGTCGACAATCGGATATCACGGCGGCGCCATAGGTGGTGCAAATTGGCAAACGCCAGCCGGGCCTTTTGTATCTGTGCAGAGATTTCATCGGCTACTGACCCACCATGGCTGGTCCTACTTCCCAGGTAAGTGAGGTGGTTGACACACTATTGTTAGCCGTGGCACCGTTGAAGACCAATCCTGGAGCCACAATTCGCATTTGGGTGGTGAGAAAAGCATCACATTCTCAGATTGCCACTCAAAGTGTTCAGAAGACTGCATCTTGTTAGCGTCTTCACCTAACAGGACTATGTCATCTTCGTATTCTAGGTCTAACGAGAATTCTCCTGCGATCAGGTCGTTTGTGTAATCAGGTGACGAGAGGGTCAAATTCTGCTCGATGCACATTTGATAATGCCTAAAACCTACTGTTCTCGAGCTCCAGTTGAACTACGGACCCTACGATCTGGGATATAATGTTAGTCAAATTGATCTCCCGATGGAATTGATATGAACTACGAATAAAACTTAACCACAGTACCGCAAATATTGGGCGCTAAGTAAAAGGTTGGCATTAATCCCCCTATCGTTATCACAAAATACTCCTCTTTTAGACCTTAATCAGCACTGATGTCGACTAGCCTGACAGGATTGCCTTTGTTTGCATTACACTACCTAGTGCCTCCGTCACTACTCAGTAATTTTCCTCCTTAAAAGCTTCTGGTAGCAAACCGTCAAGTCCTATTGTTTTGCATTGTTTCAAATTCGAAACAGCCTTCCCGATTTCGAGGAGAGTCGATAGGCCGACATCTACGTCCCATTTAGGTTCAGGTCGGATAACAGACAACTGAAGCGTTGCTGTGGGGGCCATTTGGACTTTTTTCCAAGATGTTCGGTCCTAAGAGGTCATCAGGGACCCTTCCTTTCAGTAGTTTCACTAGCGATCTTGTCAGCATCTTTAATAAGCCTAAGTAATTGCCGGATATTACCTTATGCTGATGTCTTTTCCATCTCTTTGGCTTTCACCATCCACTACTGCTCGCAATCATTGTGAAGATTCTTGATCAATTTACATCGGAGTTACTTTCTCTCTTCATTGTGTTAAGAGCCAGCTAGAATACACCTTGCATCAGTTAGGTTAGATAAAGTTGCGGAAATCCACTGGCGTGTGCTAACTTTTGAATATAGGTTACTGACTGTTTCTACAATAGACTAAATATTATATCAGGCTTCACTACTAAGGAGATTTCCGTCATGTACACAAAAATGCTTATCCGCCTCTAAATACACACTTGACGTCCTCACCTTTCAGTAAAGCACATAGAGATTTTACTTCTCCGTGTTTCCTGTGACCAGTACCTGTGTGAACACATGAATGGAGTTCAAGCAAGTACTGTTCTACTGACGTAACCTCTGATATTTTCTGTATTTCTTACTGGTTGATAGGTTAGGTCAATATCAATATGTCTGTTGGTCGTTGTGTCAAGCTTCTAAATATTTTCAGGCATTCTTCGTGTTCCCTCTATCCAGAATTTATATTTTCCCATTCGAATTCATGTCGCCATTTGTCTATATGCATTGAAGATATATCATGACTCTCCAATACTAGTTGGTGTCCATGTAGACACAAAATGGAAAACCACTCTGTCCGACATAGTGTTTTTGGCTGGGCTTGCGAGCTGTAGCTATCCTCAAAGACTTTAGTAATTAAGTCACGATCTCGGAGATGCTATTGGTGCAATGAAAGACGATCTGTTGGTTTCCAAAGATGACTTTTTGGTTGACGGTGAGTTCGACAGACATCTTGAGATGAAGTTGCGTGGATAAACCGTTCCTGCAAAAGACAGTTATTAAGTAGTTGCCTTCCTTCCATAGGGTTGGTGTACTACAGTGTCTTTGCCCTTTTGATCAGTTTTTACGCAACTGATTTTGTTGTTGAATTGTTGCTACTATAGTTAAGGATTAACAGGAATAAGAAATACACTCAGCGGTCTTTTCTAAATTCGCGCATTAGGCAATGAACCACACCTATTATGTGATGGCTAATATTACTATTCGGCTACCTAAACCTTGGTAGGTAAAAGGGGGTCCGAACCCATCACCGAGTGGTTGAAACCAATTAACCACTGCTGCGCAAACCTATGCGAGTCAGTTTTGTGCATATTTGAGTTTCCGATTTCCTAGAATCCATTCTAGGGATCATAACATGTAGAAATGCAAGCTTGTTGTTTGATTTCTCTTCATTTCCCAGTTAATGCCAAAAATATTGTTGATCAGTTTGTAAGCATCCTCCGACTCGTTTCTATTAATGATGACAAATATGTCCCAACCACTAGCTATTACCTTGACGTGGTAGTTGGTATTACATATCACTGACCCGACGACTCATGCTACTAGAATATCCTAAAATTGACAAACTCCCTTTTATCCTACGGTATACCGGTGCCTCTGATACAAGTTCACTGTTGGATTCACAAAAAATAAACCAAAATATCAAATTTCTTAAAAGGCCGTGTGTTACGCCGCAAGCAGCGTCCATTAAACTCTGCGGTCACGCACTAACCATTCCTTTTCAGGTACTCCAGAAAGAATCAGCCCTTTATGGTGTGAGCAACCGGGAAGTGTCATCCACCCTCGTAACTTTGTTAGCACTCAAGTTCGATCAAATCACTGTTCACCTTCCACATCCTTAAGTTCTAATTTTCTTTCATGTATCTCAGTCAATATTCCTAAGTCATCCTTAATTTCTCTCAGTTTTTGAAAGAGATCCGATAGCCGAAACTCTAGCATCTCGGGACATGGATGTGATGCGTTTGTGAAACACGGACGCAGGAATTAGTTGCGTTTATTCACTTTACTTCATCTGACCAATATGGTGAAAATTTACCCTTCGATTTTCTGGCTAATTCTCGTAATCTTGAAACTATAAGTGTAGCGTTGAGTATTGAGGCAGAAAGTGCACTATTCGATTGAACGACACAATGAGTGCTAAAAAAAAATGGTGAAACTCGCCGCTGTCTCTTTGTAATCTCTGCTTACGCACCCACTGACTGCAGTTCGGATGAGTCCTACTGGAAGCTATCTAGCCTCCTACGAAAAGCCAAACGTTCACACATGGTTGTTGTAGCATGTGATTTCAATGCACAAGTGAGCACGCTAAGTTAGACAGAAAGGCACTTAGGTGTTACTTCCGGAATCCCGGCTGAACGAACAGATAACGGCGATCACCTGCTACAAATGTACTCAGACATCCTTTCTTTTCTGGTCAGCATAAACTTCAAACATAAAAAGAGAAATTGTCTAATTTGGCGTCCAACGACATCAACTCAACAGTGGACACAGATAAGTTATGTTGCTATCAGCTATCACCGAGGAAGGTCAGTGTACATTGCCACTCCTTCTGGACGCGTGGTTGGACAGTGACCACGCGTTGGTTCGAGCACGTAAGTCTGCGCCTAAGTTGACGTAGAAGAACTATAGCAGCAAGACTACTGCGAATGTAGGTAGATAATGCGAATATTGAGGATACTTACAGCGAAAAACTGACTAGATAGTTGTCGGAACAGAATAGCATCATTCATCCGGAAAAAGCTTGGAGCCACTTTCAGCTTCCTGTAAAAACAACGTTGAGGACCACAGCACTGGAGATATTTGACTGATTGATAGAATCAGCGTAGAACCTAGCACACAGATGCATCGGCTCACTTCATATAAGTACACAAAGAAGAGGTAGGTAGAAAAAAGTGATATCAAAGAAGATAAAGTAGTGTGAGAAAATAATCATTCTGAAGACAATGGTTAGTGTGAACAGTCAAACTTTACAAGACATCAAGGAGTGAGTACATCTGCACCATTCTGACCGGTTTTCAACTATGTCATCAACAGTCAACTTGAGGAAATTATGTTTTAGAGTTGGCTCTAGATGTATTTATCAAAATTTGACCTCTAGTTTCCGGAAGAAATACCCGTTGCTGGCTACTAGTCGTATTGCTTAACCTGAAGATATTAGATTCCGTCGATCGAAAGGGTTTGTAGCAGCCTCTAACAGACAAACCTGCATAGAAACCATATAATCTCACTGAAAGCTATCTATAAGAACCATTAGATTAGTATTAAAGCAGTCTGTTGATGTTACTCCGCTGGGTCATATCCATCAGTGAGGCTCACTTTTTGTATTCATGTTAGTTGTGTTTATGAAGGCGACTGTTTTTTCGTCGAAATTTAAAGGGATTGTTCTTCTGTGTGGAACATTTATGTACCCTTCGTTTCTAACCCTTCCAATATCTGTTTTTAATGAGGTTTCAGGAAAGAACGAATGCCAAGTTGGTTGATTATATACTGTCCAACACTCATTTTACAGAGTCATGTCAGAAAAAACTCCAAAAGCTTCTGCGGAAAAAAGAAAAGCGTAAACTAGAAAAAGGTCGGAAAAGAGCAACTTTGCGTGAGAAAACAAGAGCAGCCATGGCACAAGGTTGCTATCACAGCAAAAAGTTCCAAAAGATGGAGATTTCTCGCAAACTGGACATTGCGTTTAATGATGGTATAAAAGTGTACATAGATTGTTCTTATGAAGCTCTCATGTCTACCAAAGTTCGTGCTAACGCCCACAAATATCACTATTTGTAGGAATGCAATAAATTTGCTCAGCAGCTATGCCGATTGTATGGTGCAAACAAAAAAGCCCCAAGACCCTTAAGCCTCCATCTTGTGAATCTTTCCCAGTCTGGACCTTTGTTCCACGCATGTCAGTCTAAATGTGATGGGTTTTCGAATTACAAGGTAAGTCTGCATTAAAACACCAACAAATTAAAATGACAAGAAATTTTTTTTGCATAGTATTATCATATATACCAGACTAGACTATGTTCTGTTGATGTACTTGAACCCGATCGACTGCTTTGACCTACGCATTTCAGCTGACGTTGACTACAAAGTATGTAGTAAATTAAGTTATTTTGTCGAACCGGATCAATGGAACCCTAAGTCTAGAATGATAAACCCTACTAGGATGAGTAATCTACAGGGATATTCAGCTATGTAAGCAGTAACACACAGTAAGGCTGTATAGAGTAACATTCTTAAAGACTAGTGTAGTTAGGTAGAGGGAAAGGTTGGTAGCTGAATCTTCGTTCATGAATTCAGCACCTAACACGTGTAACAAGAATGATTTGACACAGATTTCAGAGGTATGAAGAATTCTACCACCAGTAAAATTGAAGAGGAAAAGACAGTAAAACTATACAATTCAAGTCATGAATTCGCATGATTATCTTAATAGAATCGTGAACGATGCATCGTGCTTGAGTTCTCATCCAGTGAAAAATACTGTGCGATACCGAATAAAGTAATCCAATACTTAACTGCATTACCACATCCCTCTGGTTCTTTACTCACATTAAGGTCATTTCCTCTCAAGTTTTAGGTTACATGGACCTCCACTAGATATATTTACACATTGGAACGCCGATAACCACTCACTACAAAGTAGCTAGAACGTTAGGCAGAACACTTTGAAGCACAGTTCACTTCGCTTGTCAACATCCAGTTTGAACCCTAATGTGGCGTATATTTGGGATCGTCCAACTCTGTATCGAACCTGAAACGATACAAGGCAGCAGGAACTGACAATTTGCAATCTGAAGCTTTCAAAGATGAAGGTTGCAAATTGCTTATCAAGGTGGTGGAGGTACTAGGTAGTACATGGGAAACGGAGGTAGTGACGTCATACTAGTGTACCTCGCTGATCATCCCACTCCATAGTACGGAATAGAAATCTTGTGATAACCATAGGAGAATTAGTTTGACTAATGCTGGGGAGCCCGAGGACGGTGATTTTTGCAAAAACCATTTAATTATCAGACAGCGGTGGTGCATCAATTAGAATCTCACCCTTCGACAGGTTAAGCGAAACAGGCATATGTTTCAACACCAACCCTTGCCATATTTCTCGACCCGAAGGCGGCATTTGACCGTGAGGTGTGGCAGTGTCTAACTGTAAAGAAAGTGCTGAACAACTACATAGCGCTAATCAGAGCTCTCTACTTGAACTCACGCGGCCATGTAAGAACTGGCTCATGGAGAGATGTCATGTGAATTGACAACAACTGATGATGTCCGTCATTGATGTCCACTGTTCCTGTTTAATTTCATTATAGGTATACCAACGGACATAACCTTAGGTACATCTGACTTCACACGGATTGACCAACTCCCTGCAGATCACCTAATTGACCTAGAGTTTGCAGACGACATTGTCCTGGTGAGTGAAGACGCTGACAAAATGCAGGATCTTCCAGACGTGTTGAGCAGGAATCTGAGTGTTTGCCATAGGTTTCATATGCAAGGTGGTTCTCCAGGACTGGTCTGCAACCACTACCAGTTTGATGATAAGGAGTGAAGTGGAGAAATGCGTCGACCACTTCACTTACTTGGGGAGTTCCATCAGTCCGAACGGGACGGTTGAGGATGAAATCTCACCTCGGATACAGAAGGCTTGTTTGGCATTTCCCAGCTGGTGCCATCTCTGCCGCCGGCGGGGTATTCGACTATCTGTCAAAGGATAGGTGTGCAACACTGCAGTTCGTCTCTTACATGGCTGTGAATCATGGCCTCTAAAAGTAGAAGATATGAAGTGGTTACAGGCTTTCGATTACAGGTGTCCTAATAGCGTTGTGTGCGTGTAAATGAAACCACTATGTGGGCAATTTGAGGTCGAGTGAAGGATTCTAGGCAAGCTTGGACATTCGCATGCCGAGCCACTGCCTTCTTCGACGTTCCATGCTAGAGGAAGTTGAATTAGTTTGGAAGAGGGTTTAGAGTGACCAGGCCAAGACGTGGCAGCAGTTCATGAAGTCTGTGACCGTTGGTCATAGCCGTGTTGGGAGATGGCCACCTGGCTGGGGTGCTCGAGATGATAGAAATGTTTTTGACTTGGTGACGTTTGAAAATCGGTCACAATGGCGCAGAGGTATTCACTTTTTGACGTCTGATAAAACTTGAATATTTGCGTAACCTTTGTCTTCAAACTGCTTATTATCTCACACGATTTTGTCAACTTTTTATATCACATTTCTCTTATCCACCTGTTCTTTGTATATTTATGTGAAGAGCAGCAACTTGAACCCCATGCAGTTGTGTGCAAGTTTCTGCGTTGTTTATGTCTTTCTGCATATATCGTGGTTAAAACGTATGACGAAGCACTAAGATAAACTACTATAATTCTGTTATGCTATCACTAACCTTGATTTCACTTCCTAAATAGTTAGAATACAGCTAAGAGGTTCGGTTTTGTTCGGAGTATGCTTCACTTAAGCTTTCTACAGGGGAGGATACACTGAACTTGATGATGCAATGACAATCAGATATTTCGTTACCTAAGTTTGTGGTTGTTTGAAAAACGAAGTCCAGTCAAGGAACCAACAAGATTTTCAGAGAAGTAGCGAAAAATCATCAACTTCAAGATTCTCTTTGAGTTTTTACAACGAACCACATAGAATTTCCGGGCAATGACTTATCTAAAATTGGAACTTGAATTAAAGGGTGTAGGTAAATGTCAGATAGAGGTATTTATTGTTGATTACTAATGTATTTACGTACGAAACTTAAATACTTACAGTCTGCAAACCCACAATAATAAGGTGTTCATTTCTTGTCCTATAATTTTTTCCCCTACTACTGAATGACAGACCATTTTTCATTACTTTGTAGATAGGATTTCACAGTGAAACAGCGTCGAGTGTAACACCAGATGGTATGGAACTGGTTTATTTAAGTCCGGATGCGGAAGAACCACTTTTATCCTTGTCAAAAAATTGTGTGTATATACTGGGTTGTCTTGTAGATGAACATCTACTAAAGGTAAAATATGTCTTTAGTTATACTGATGATATGTGGCTACTGAAATTGTACCAATTACAAACAAACTCTTGTGCCATTTTTAACTAGTGGATTTATTGCCTAAAAATCTTCAGGCAAGCTCTGTGCAATATCCTCACTACCTATGCATTTCACTAAGCTACGATCATCGACTTTTTCCAGTTGATTTGTTGACTTATTTTCTCCAAACATGATTGCGAGTACTAATTTTCTTAGAAAACATGTGATAAGAAAAATCCGCATAGCACCCATGTTAAAATACGATCGACTCCAAGTAGTCGATAGGCTTACACATGCGTTCTACTCGAAATAACTAACTCCCACGTCAACAGAATTTCATGACTTCTTCAATTAGCACTTATAGCATGGTGCAACCACATGAAGAACATAGTCTTAGGTAAGCGAGTGAGGTCAGTTGTTTAGGATCCACATCCTCATGCTGCTCATGACGACCCACGGTTTACTCGAACAATATATATTACCTCAAATCGCCCCTCATCAACTTGTTATTATCATTAAGGCTTGTCTTCAAATCAAATTACGTACTCTCGCGCGTTCTTATTATATTTTCTACATGCCGTTTCGCAAGTTAACAATAAAATTGAGAGACAGCAGCTGACAATGGGTGTTTAAGCGCATAACGATAAATCATACTAACTATTCCTGAAGTAGTTAGCTTAGACTGCTGATCTTCGTGCTGGCTGAGTGAGCCATCACCATACGCACTTTTCTCTTCGTCTACCCTGAATTTACTCAGACTAGATGATGACCTGACAATAATTGGTCGTTACATATTACTCCTCGTAGTGTTATCATTAACATTGTTATTTGGATGCTATAACTGTTTCGTTCAGAATATTGTAAAAGAGGCAGATTTGTTGGATACATGCTGAGAATTCCATACGGCATCATAAATACTTTCTGGAACAAAGTAATTGCTAGACTAAGAGTGAGTGGTCGAATCAAAATAAGTCACCAATCCAACCGGTCGCTGTAACAGTTGACGTCAGTCCCGTGTTGAAACTAGAACTTCCAGTTTAGGGTCCACAAAGTAACAAACCAATAGTTGGGATATGACTCAGGATGTGTCAAATATATATCGCTGTTTTACTTCTACCACGTCAGAGACCTTAGCGTAGGTTTTGGCCTTTTGTATTTATCTTCACTGAACCCCGAATCACCAAGATTGGTGCAATTCTCCATGGAGTTAACATGCTATTACTTCACTGCTTACGGTTAAATCTGGAGTTAGGAAAAGATAGATATACTCAGAAAACTGACATTTTTTCAGTAGAATTACATCACCTGCGTATTTCAAACCCTTTGGTTGGATCTTTGGGACGATAATAAACTCACAAGAGATGAAACTAATAACTGCGCCGCTACGTACTCCAGTAACACACTACTCAGTATGTGTAATCAAGATGAATGGTTACCATATAGGTACACGAGCTGAAATAACTTAATGCATTCTTTAACTGGTGGATCAAGCTAAAAGACTTCGATCACCTTAAACATTGTTAGATAGAAATAATTGTTTCACTTTAAAAGTATGAACACTTTTTTAGTGTATTTTTAGCTTTGTTGATTATTGCTTTTGGTTCCGTTGGAATTTCTCAGGATACATCTTTTTTCTTATTTTAAGGAATGTGTATATCATGTTTAAGGACTGAGCCGCGGGTTCAATTTCACGCAGATCTCATCGCTAAATGAACATATGGATGTGTTCTCAACTGCGTAGTCTAGTGTGACATGAAAGTTACCATTATAGGCGTAAAATCTAATTCAATATGAAATATATGGGGGTTATGTTCCAATGAGCTGAATAAGTACTTGTAGCTTTAGACTCCATCCAGTAACCCCACCGAGTTTCAAACTAATGATCTACTTTGCTCTGTTAATACCTATAATAAACACACTCCACTGTATATAAAGTTGGAACCGAATGATTATCTGCAATCGTATGTAAACTAAGACAATCTGGGGTTACGGTATCAAATACTAGTTATATTTCATTCTTTCAATGGTTTTTTCTTCCTCTAGGGTCGGAGTTTAAAAGAAGCTGAACTTCAAGGTTGTCGCTCTGTGCGACTTCCAATCCAAGAATTTTACGACCACAATACATCAGGAAGAAAGTCTAGTCCCGTATTGGCGATAAATCACGTCATCGATATAATATTAGCCTACTTGGCAGGCAATGGTGACTGGAAGACAGCTATAGAATCTGGCCTACCGAAAAGATTTTTTAAATGAACTATTTTCGAACATTATTCACTCAAAAAAAACAAGAAAATTCTTACATAAAAATTCAATATCCTTCACAATACAAGTTACGTTAATAAACCTGTCTGCTCGTTGGTTAGAATGTTTATTACAGTTCTTCATTCTCTCAAATACAACCATCATAAAATGAGACTGTGGTCGGAAAATCATCGCATATAAGACCTAAGAGACAAACATCAGGTTGGGTTAATTATTGGAACTTACGGCATTTTCGTCTTGATAAAAATGTGCAAGGTAAGAATAGATACTAGAATGCATCCGATCCCAAGAGCCATCAACAAGACACGGTTTAACCTAGTGACCTTAGCTTCATTGACTTTGTCCATCACAATAAATCCGAAACTGCCCATAACAAACATGAAGCTAGCTGCCAGTCCTTCCAGTATATACTGACTGTTTAAGCGCCAAGTCATGATGGCCACCTAGATTTCATTCAGGAAACAATAAATTAAACTTACTGGTCTCTGATTACCCCTGGAATCAGTTTCCGTCCCATACTTGGCGGTCCTACGATCATATCATAAATAACACCTATTAGAAAAAAGTAGATGTAATCTGGTTATTGGTTAATCGAATGCATTAAAGTATACAAATACGGTCAATAACGTGGTTCAAGTACTAGCATATGTTTTTACTTGATCACTGTCAATAATAATTGTCGTAAGCACGAAATACTAAGAATGCAGTTTCGTCATCCTGACGTTTATGTGCTAAGTTATGAACCAAGTTTATGGATTACAGTCAGCTTACTGCTTATCGAAACTCAGTTTCAATGCATGACTCATTAACCGGAAGCCGAATGCCTGAAACAATGAACGGTAAGAAGTGTGTAGATACATATAGTGTAACAAAGGTCGATGCGTAAAGTTATGGTTTGAATTGAGCTGTTCGGAATCTAAATCGTTTAGTCATTTGGCGATTTCACTTTTAGCTCACTACTGGTAATATGAGTTTAGGTCGTTTTTATCTGACGTCAAATCTTATGTATGGGTTACGTTTAGTATTTTCGCTGACCGAATTAATCGGTCAATATTGGCATATGGGACGCTGTGTAGATAGATACTTTAATACTTTATGTCATTTAAGTTCGATACTGATGAATCGATATGCCAGTAGAGACAGGAGTTTATAAGCTATCAAACCAAGATATACCCGTCGCCCAAAAAGTAGCTACCGTGACTCAGCAGTGTGGTGGATAGCGTTGGAAGCAACTGGGGCCTGGTTCGAGCACCAGATGATGTGAAACGCGTGCCTTGGATTCACTCTTAAACATTACTCTTTTTTCCCTAGATTAGTCAACAAGGAAGTTTCGAGTATGTCAGACCTTATTCTACAACAGCTAATCTGCAGGGCCGCAGTTGTTTAACCTGAAGAATACGCAGTAGGTTTAAGGTGCCAAACACAACCAAGTGATCACGAGCTACGACAGAAAATGCTAAGAACAGTACTGTCAAAGGTACGATATCAAGCAATTATATTGGCAACATCACACTAGTCTATTCGAAGTTTTTTATTAACTTCCACTGATTTACCCCTTCATGCATTTTTGTCTACTTCAACATCATGATTTTCTTTTCTGCTTCCCATCTGTAAACTGTTGTGAAGTGCGGTAATTTGAACTGATGAACTTGTGCAAAGTTTTACGTTGACTTATATTTCCCAAAAGTCGTTGTCAAGATTACAGTGAAATTTAGAACCTATTTACGTAAAAGTAGAAACAATCAGTTGGAATTTATAATCCAATCGAATTTCTAGATATGTATTGAATTATTTTGTTACACATTAATTCTCAGTGTAGAGAAGAATATACTAGACGTGACATTTAGTTTCCAAGTTTACTCCTTAATTGTCTTGTCCTTCCAATACATACGATTCGCACATGAACAAGGGATTAATGAGTGATATAAGGCAAGAAGCTAATTACTTGGCTTTTTTGTCTGTTAACACTCGTCAGTAAGGCATATCGATAACCTGGAATGGGATATGCGTGTTCATCTTCCAGCTCACACCCAATTCAAAGCGGTTGTTTCAAATCTGAAACAGGCAGCATCCGGCGGTTTAGCACCAGTTTAATTATAGTAACCGATACAGGCTAGATTGGTTTGACGGGACTGCCTGTCGTTCCCGTACACTACCTATTACATCACTTACGGTACTGGATATTACTAATAGCAAACTATCAAGTTGTTGATCACTCATGTTCATACGAAGGGAGAGAAGTCTTCCCGTGATCATAGAACGATCAATATGATAAAAACCGTGTCCGAGGTCTGCAGTCATTTGACGCATAAGTGATGCTCCGGAAAGCTAGCTAGGTTTTAGGCATGAGTGATGATTCGTTCACAAGACCTTCGACATGTTTCCAAACAAGCATACTCGATACATTGTGTTATATCAAAGTAAGATGAGGTCCAAAGACAGTCGGAAGTGGTTATATTACGACACATCAACCCATAAAATCTCTAAGTCTGAGCCGTTTGGATTATCTTTTCGGGGTCCTCGAAGCAACGAGAATGAGTGACTTGAAACCCAGTATTATGGTACAGATTTTATTATCTCCACAAATTTTAACATCAATAACTAGCATTTATTATTATGTCCTCTCCTCTTTTATACACTTTTGCCTAGTTCAGTATCAGTTTTTTCTACTTATTTCCTGGTGTGCTGTTTTGAAATATAACCATTTGAACTAGTATGTATCTGCAAGGTTCCATATGAAATCGTCTGTAGACCAGAAAACTGATCACAATTTACCTTGATTATAAAATGGCAAATACAGAAAGATATCGTAAATTAAGTATAAATTCTCCTGGCTTTTAACAGCAATCACCAAAATGTACCTTTCAGGCTTTGCTATCGGTATTCCAGCAAGATATAGAATATAGATCATATCTGTAGGAAAATATCGATAAAACCCTCGAGGGTTCAGTACAAAAAGTGGCTTCGAAGTCTATACTTACCTACTTTGCAGTTTTTATTCGATATGGTATAGTGATGTGGTATCATTTAGTAGATGAAGTTTTTATCAAAATGTTTGCTCGCAATCTCATATAGGCAATAACCTAATATGAAGTTAGCTTCATTTCTTGATATAAAGGGGGACATAAGTGCATTGAATGAGCTCTTGTAGCAATGTCTTTCACTGAAATCGATATCTGGTAAGTACAACATACTATTGAACCACATACAGTCATGTTACAGAGCTTATGTTGAAGTACATAGTCAGTTTTCAATTGGTGTCCGTTATTGATGTCCACTTTCCATTTCTACCCAACTCTGTCAAAGTGCTAGTGGAGGTCTATCTGTCTAACTCGACTTAACAGGGATTGATCTCGCCACAATATATTCCTTAGTAGATTTAGAACACATTGTTAAGCGAAAATGCGGCATCCTAGAGACGTAGTAGCGATATGGAAATACCCACGGTGCGTCTCATAGCTCTACTTTAAGTGGTTACTTCACAACCGGTGCACGTTGATAGCCACTTTGATGACAAAAGAGGAAGCAGTTAACTACTTCATGTAGTCGTAAAGTCAAGTTAATTCTGGTGGATCAGTGATGAAAGAAATCTATGCAGGGATGGAAAAAAGCTTAAAACGAAACATTTGACTGTCCAATAAGTATCAAGCATATTGTGAAGCAGTTCACTTTGAGATTGTGAAACTTGACCGTTAAAAGAGGGTATTCGCACACCGTCACCTTAGTAGTGCTGACCATGCCAATAATTTGGAAGCTAGGCTTAAACCTGAGTACAAGAGGAAGTTAGGTGAAGAGGTTATAAACCTTGATGGTTAGGATATATGCAACGTATACGCAATCACCGTTTATTTTGAAACGCAAAGACAGTTTAGGTAGAAAAAATTCAAAGTCTTACACCAGCACACGTAGTCTCTGTTGTTCTCAGGCGTCTATGAAAATGCAAACCTCGTGGTTAGGGTTCGCACGACGGCAGAAACAGCTGCAAACTTAAGGTGATATGTATCATAGCCGATCTCAGAGGGACAGATGGATTCACACTATTTACAACCTAGTCGGAATCTCATATTTAGTTGTTTCCTTCGAACCCTCTTTTTATGATATCCCACGACTTTTGGTTAGACTACTTCTATTTTTGTTATGCTGCTTTATATTTTGACGTTCTGAAGCGGTGGCGACTCAGACCGTTGCGAAGTCTTGCCAGATCGCGTGTTAATACTGACTGACTGGGTTTACGTTTCTGGTCGTACAAATATCAGATCTGACGCAACTGTATATCGGTGCAAGTTACCTCGATATATGTGATATACAGGAATTCTCGGTTGACAGAGTGGAATGTAGCATCCAGGTCAAGATAAGTGGTTTGGGTTGAGCCCTGGTGTTAGGTTTTGACAAAGAATGGTGATATAACTGATGTCAACGACCAGATCTGAAACCCTCCTAATTCGCTCATACGTTTCATTATTATTGTCAAGTTTTGAAAGATTAACTTTCAAACCAAGACTATCGACGATAGATACTAGTGGTTTTATTGCACTATGAGCAGATGATTTGACATCTCTGTGAAGTTGTCCATAACGTGTCACACTAGTTCAGCAGAAACCACGGTACTAACAAGTGGAACACAGCACTAGCTTTTAATCCTAGGTTACCTTTGTAAAAACTCTAGGAACTTCCGAAACAGTGAAGACAAACTTTATACGAGTTGAACTTAATTCTTTTTGTTTTGATAAGGCGATAATTATTCCACTGTTGAGCAAAAAGACTCAATATGGCTCATTTCATAGCATTCATGAAAACTTCATCCGAAATCGTTTGCTGCTGCTTCACAAATTGCGAGGTTTAATGCAACACAAAAATTAAAAGCTGGAAGCCAATCACATATTCACCCACTACTAGCTCGTACAGCTATAAACGTTAGTACATCATATCAAAGATAAAACAAGCCTTTGTAAGAGAGCTGAAACAAGGCGGTACAGTGCAACTATAGAATGTCATCCTCGAGCGACTTTGAAGTAGTCGGTCGCGTTCAATGCAACTACGGATGTCCTGTCGCTGACTACAGATGACATTATGCAGAATTTCCACGACAACTTTTGTTGAGTCGCAGGAGTTTATTTATCATATAATCGTCTCACAATATTGGGTCACAGTGAAATATGCCTGCCTCAAAACCTAAAATGCACTCATCAACCTTGAGCAGATTCGTGCAGTAGGCAATGGGCCACATCCATTGTATGGGTCAACGATACTACATGGCTGCCCAAACCTCGATACATGGAGTGGCGCCCGAACCCTTAGTCGATTGCTTGAAAGTCATCTAAAACCAACGAACCACGGCTTCGCGATTAAACATCTAACCACAACGTTTAGTATAACTCCCTATTACCCAATTCCAAGTAAATATGGAGCTGGAAAGAGGACCTGTTATATGATAATTCCCAAACTTTCTATTCTGAAGTCTACAGACCTACTATCTAACTTCATGAAACTGCTATTTTCAGCTCTCAAATAATGATTCTTAAAAGTTTACACGGGTCTACATCCATAGGTTTATTTAGGCCCATATTACAGTTCAGGCCTAGTGTTATAAAATCCGATTCAAACGTTTTTATAGCTTATCCACATCTACTCTAAGCAGTAAGAAGCAGTCAAAAACCCAAACAAAATTTTACATACAGATAAAACCCATATCCACTTTAATTTCATTTCGTCCTGTTAATAAACATCAAAAATAAGCGGTATTTCACTACTGTGTCTAGGACCACTTCAAGCAAGTGAACTTCAGTAGTTCCCCCAGTTATATCAAACTTCAAAAGGCCCCAAACTGCCAAGAATGGGGGGGGGACTATTATATATATATATATATATATATATATATATATATATATATATATATATATATATGTTACAGCCCTCACATGACAGAACTAAGTAAATGGACATTAAAATAAGTTCACAATCATCTGTCAATAAGTAGAAATATCTCTGGTGAAAGAGAAGCTCACGACTGCAAGGTCTTCATCGCTAACATGTTAAATATATTTAACATAAATATATTTAAATATATTTAACATCTCACCTCCAGTAATTAGAAAATAGCTGAGGAGAATGAGAGCGAAGAAAACCATTGGTGATGGCCATGTTATAAAGTTTGGTTTCTTTATCTTCAATCTAGGACATTCAACAATAGAGAAGAGTGGAGCAAGAATGAACTCCATTAGTACCGTACAATCTTGAAACCGCAACAACTATACGACATCAACATCCAGTCCAACATCCAACTTCAATAGTGCGAGGAGAGGTAACTTGCAGTTTTCCAGCCCTCACTTCTACGACTTGAGGCTCAGTTCATTTTGTTCGGTTGTACCCCTTCGATGGTCGCAGAAGTCTTTGCATTTTCCTGCTTATAGCTTTGGAGGTAGTGGTTGTCTATTTAAAGATATTTTATTTGCAAATTGTAGATTCCAGTATCCAATATCTTTTAACGAGCTAGTAAAAACCAATCGGTTTCTTCGCGCTCGCTTCTAGGTTTTGCGAGTTTCAATGCAGTAGGTCTACCCACTCGAATGCTGTAGCTCTAGTTACCTCGACGGGCGGTTGGGTGTTGTTTAGATTTGTAGGCAGTGTTTGTTTGTTTGCTTTTTCTACCCAGGACTGTGGTGCAGATGGGCTCCTCAAATGTCGTGCCAGCAGACAATTGGTCGGGCTGGTTGTAAAAAGGATACGAAAAATATGTACAGAGAAATCAAGAGAGAGAAAGTGCAGAGAGAGACAAAAAAGAAAAAGAAGAGGAAAAAAAGGAGAAGAATATATCACAAGGAGATTAGGAAAAAGGAAACGGCACGGAAGAATGAAACATTGGTCGGTTCATGGGGAATAGGTAATAGAGCTTTTGTCGAAGTTTGAGGGCGTAAAGTCAGAGGGAAGAATAACCAATAACATGATAGGACGAATGCGAATATGGTAGTTTTTAGCAGGAAACGGTAACTGGAGGGGACTTCTACAGGAAGGTATAAGGTTGAGCCAAGTTCTCAGTGACAGTGGTTTTACAAAGTGTTCAGTAACGGTTGGTCTTACCGAGTTAGAGGATTCCTTTATTTTAGCCGGGGGAGGAGCACGGAGCCGCTGACAAGATCACTAAACCGTTTGTGATTCCTGTTTTTGCAAGCACCTGCAAGTAAATATTAAGTGTTACTTAAAACGTGCTAGAAATTAGGTGAATGGGTGTAGCGTCACATACTTCCCCAGACTCAATAGTCTAGGGCTCGACGAGACTCAACACTGATGCTGACTTTCATGATTCAACTGGACTCGCTAAGCTGAAGGCACCCGGTCAAGCATCCACGCCATTAGGCACGCCGCCGTTTTTTGTTGCGGTGCTCTTAGTCAACCCTCTATCCAGTTAGTCGGGACACATAGGTATCTTGGCACCACCTCGCAAATACACCATTCCATGCGACCACTCTACTTTGCTCTTCCTTGGTCCCATGTTCGTGGACATATTAAAAGTACGAATAATTGGTGATTGGCGTCTGCGTATGTCAAGTTCGCACCAGGAAAATTCCTAATTGGGGAATGAGAGAAAGAGGAGTGAAAGGTACATATGGGAAGATAAGTGTTACTAGTAATAATATGGTAACAATCTAATTGTGGATACTGGGGTTGGGGAATAGAAGGATGGAATGGCGCGTCATTAGTTGCCACCGACAAACGTTCGTAGTGGCCATTTGCGCTCACATACTCATACGGTGGTCGTTTGACGGAGTCAACTGATGTAGATATAGCTAATTTCTTCGGCAGAGCCTTCTATCAGGCACAGTTGAATCTCACTCTCGTATTTACACTGTGGTGTGGCATACCAGTGGGGTTCTCATGGGACTGTCGGTTTGGGACCTATAATGTTGGCCCGTTTGGGTGGTCCACTTGGTGAATGATCTTGTAGGTTGTTGTCAGGTCGTCTGCTTTCCTTCGATAGCTTAGTGTGAACACGTCGAGTTATCTGGGGTGTTGCGCACATGTTTTGCCTGTTGGTTTGGCAACTAACCTTGTCGCTCTTCCCTGCAATTTCTTTATAGTATTCACGTCTCTCTTTAGTAGTGTGGAGAAGGAACTATCATGTTGAACACCTCCAGGTGTTATCCAATATAGGCTGTAAACACTATAAGGAATAATTCTGCGGTTAAAGATTTGAGTTGATTTTTTAGGGAGCGGATGTCAGCGCTCGCCTTTGCCGCCATTCCCTTATAGTTGCCAGCAGCGTCCAGTGTGTCAGTGAAGTTTATTTCTAGGCCCTTCACTGTGAATACCTTGTTGATTGCACACTTGTTAAGAGTGTAGCTGCTTTTCATAGTCTGCAGCACGCAAAGTTACATCACCTTGCATTTCTCCAGGTTGAAGCTTGACCGTTTGCAGCTGACCAGGGCTCCAGCTGCAACAGGCCGTCTGGGAGTATCCTAGACTCCTCTCCATCACCTTTCGTCCTCCATATTTTGATGCATGAGGAGGATAGAAGGGGGAATTTTAGTGGGAAGGTCATTTATCAACAGTAAAAACGGGGTTGGCCCAAGCATCGCTTCTCGAGAAACTCCGGTTCTTACATTCTTCCAGGTTGGTCTAATTCTGTTTACTTTAGCTCAGAATTCTCTATCCCCTAGGTATACTGTAAACTATGCTATGAGTTGTTCAGTGATACCCACTTTTGCAGTTTTGGCGAGCATGGTGCAGTGTGGGACGCTATCGAAAGCCTCGACCGAGTTCAAGAGGATAACGTGAACTGTTTGCTTGTTGTCCCATCTAGCAGTCCAGTCATCCCAAGTGGTCACCAAGTTTGTGACATATGACCCGGTTCTGAGGCCATGATGGCTAGGATGGACGGTGTTGTTTCCATTCAGGTAGTCCCAAACAACATCTGCAGCCAGGCCTTTCAGTATCTTGAGAAGTAATGCTATTGGTCTGTGGCTGCACGTGTTTTTTCGGTCTCCTCCCTCGAAGACTGTTGAGAGAATGGCGCGTTTCCATTTTTTGGGAGATGACTTGCTTCCAGATCGTGCGTGAACAGGTTGAACATGGGTATGCCTAGCTCTTCGGCACAGCTGTGTAGGACCACCGGTCTTATGTTGTCACAGCCCGGAGATTTCCATATTTTCAGCGTTGAAAGTTCCGCAGACACTCGGTTTGACGAAATCTTCACATTCATCAGCTGTGTATCGCAGTCCAAGGACTTCGTTACGGTACTGAATGTTGATAGTGGGTATTGCTGGGTCGAGTTGGTGGTCAACTCAAAGACTCTCCGCCAGGCCCTGCGATCGGGCTTAAACCCCTATTCGTTGGTTTGCGTTGTGACATAAACGGATATAGGCTTTCGGATTGTAACTTAAATGTTTAGCCAGGTTGTTCTGGTGTGTGTGCTTGTGACTGTGAACTCTCGTACTACGTGTGTTGAGCAGCGTCTTGTAGCTACGAAAGCCTGATTCTTTGCATGACGTACGCCACCGATACCACGCCTCCTTTTTCCTCTGCATTTACCTTTGGGTTGTGCGAACTGCCCAACACCGCTTGGAAGGTGGCCGTCCGATTAATTTCGGAACACCCTCTTCGATAGCGCCCCAGATTAAATCCCGTGCTCGTCTATCGATGTTGAGCGCCATTTTTGTGGCCATGCAAACTCCAGAAGTTCATTTTTCATGAGACAGTAGTTCACTTTCCGGTGGCAGAGGAGGGTTTCTAGCTCGACTGTTAGTAGTTTCTCCTTGATTACCAGAGAGAATCTCACCAAGGCGCGGTCGCTTTTGCCCAGGTCGGGTCTGAAACAGATATCGTCCACCAAAAGAGCAGCGTCCTATGGTCTCCATCTAGTGCTTTCTTTATCCTTGTCTATCAGTCGTGCTACCATAAACGTACTCTGAAGTTTGTGTTCGAAAGATTTATGCCCATACCTTACTTCACATTCTGGGTTGAGTGCCGGTGAGTTAAAGTCTCCAGCGAGGACCACATGGCCATAGGCTGCAGGGGTGGCTGTTAAAATGGAGCTGATCAATTGTGCCTCGTGCCCTGTCGAGCAAAGAGGAGGCCTGTATACCACTCCTAATAGGCACTCAGTTTGGTTTATGGTGAAACAGCACAGCAAGGAGTCTGCCAGTGGGCTTAACACCCCATCAGTCCCTTCCTTGACTTTTAGGTGAGCGCCACTGTACATGGCCACTCCTTCTCTGAACTGTCTATCATCTGGGGATAAGGTCATGCTGGGTACATATTTTCCGATCCGCGATGTCTGATGAGAGCCGTGTCTCCGTAACGGGAATAATGTCTGCTTGCAGATTACATCACACTGTTTCAAGCTCCAGCAGTTCGCTCCCAAGACCTTTCACACTGTTGGGGAAGCATGTAGAGGAGCTACGTTCTGGGCTTGGTGAGATACGGTAACCTGCTTACGCTGCTGGCAGACGAATTTCCAAGTCCCATTTTTGCAGCTAGCCATCTCCAATGCTCGGCATCATGGAAGTAAGCATAACTCTTCGTGGATCCGTCCATCAGCTTGGATATTCCATGCACCATCATGGTTTCAGCTTTGTGCAGATCACCAGGTGATGACTTTCCGCCTGTCCGGTGGCCCACGGTCTGTCTAGTTTCACCCTTATGGGGCAGGAGCCTGCAATGTCTGGTCGGAGCGACAGCAGCATCATGTTCTCTTATCGTTTCGCGGTCACTTCTGATGACCTGATCAGTGACCGCCTATCTCGAAGTGCCGTACTTCCTTGGGAGAACTGGTGTAAGGTGACTGCAGCGGTTTCTACTCTTAACTTTTTGCGGCAGTTGTGCCACTTCTCCCAATCAGACTGTTCTTTTGTTTTAAGAGTGGCTCTGCTGGTGTAGAAATGTTGGACAGAATGACAGAATCCGTTCTCTTGTCTCGTGGTTGGCGGGTATTGGGCTTAGTAGACAGTGCTTTCGGTCCACCCTTTACCCCACTCACTTCCATTCGTGCATTCCCAGTCTGTTCAGTCCTGTTGGATTGTCTGGATTGCTTCCAGATGGGTGAGGACTTTGTCGGTGCCTCACCTGGAGCGGGAACTAGTTCCTTCCTATCTCCAGGGGTGACACTTGCACACCTGTGGAGCTTGACTAGTTTCTGAGGATAGATCAAGGGAGCCCGTGCCTTGTAACGTGTTTGGCTATACTGGGCTCTCCAGTTTGTCGGTGGCAATAGTAGGCGATTTCC